CTCCAGATCAAGAAATAATATATACACCGCAATTTTCAAATTGTGGATGATTCAGGAGCGAAATGAATTTCTCGATGGCTGTCTAAGGCCAAGGTTTGAGGCAACCTTTTGCTTCCGGTTCCTTAAGAATTACCATGACAAGAATTGAACACGTCATAAGCCACAACATAACCGTTATCATGTCCAAAACTTCCAGTTCACTAAATTGACATCTTGACCGAACTGCAAACAAATCCAAATCAGCTACGTCTTGAGAAAATTGGTTTCCATGCTCACCGCGCGTGGTACGTTGCTTCATAATTGTTTTCTCTTGAGAGGAGATACCTGCAGGCCGGCTTCCAATTTGCCAATTTGGATCGCTCGCATGGATGGATCTCTCATTCATGTTGCTTGTATCTAAGCCGAGTGATAACCGACGAGCTGTCCAGATTGTTTAAATAAAGTCGACACATTTTTCACAGCTCAAGAGTAGAGGAAAAAAACTCGAGAGAAAGGAACGACACTTACTCTGGTGAGCAGGGGTTTCGGCTTGAGCGCTTGTCTCCGAGATGCAGAAATCGCCCGGTCTTGCAGCCAACGGGAAACTATCTCCGATGACATCTATCGCGTCGCAGTCATGATTCGAATTCCCAACCCAAAAGTCAGTGAAATTGTGAAATCATAGCTTTTGGCCATTCGTGAAACAATAATAATTCTTAAGTTTGGGCTAACCTAGTTGAGTGTCGACAGTAGAGACTAATTGGGGCTCTGGACGAACCGCCGATTTGATTTGCGTCTCTGATTATTCAAGATGAAAGCATATTACAGACAATCGACATATCACTATCACTGTGATCAGAAAATCTGAGGTAGGGAGGAAGGCGAGGATAAGAAATTGAAATTTACCAGATTGGGGAGCTGTGTCTGCGATCAAATCTCCAGCAACTCTTTGTGCTTGAGCAGCATCATCAGCCCGCATGCTATAGTAACCTTGGCATAAGCTGAGTGCCACAATTATTTTTGACACGTTCATATTTGAGCCAATAAAGTATTCACTTCAGGGTGTATGGAGCAGATGGGAGCAGGAGAAGGGCTGAATTTGGGTCTGCGAAAATGAGGATTCAGGTTTATCTTGCAAGTGTCAAGAGAAAGCTGTGTTGGGATCATGAACCATTAATAAGTTCTCGGCGTATTTATTTACATTACTGGTCAATAGAGGTGGCAAATAATAGTCTTACAAGCATGGAGAATAGATTATCAGACCTTATGTATCAGCCTGCAAGCAACAATGGCTGGAACAAGTTATACAAGAAACCTGTGACACGTCAAGCATTCGAGAAATATGCCAAAGGATTCGGCTTTTATCCTTGACAAATTTGTTAGGTATAATACCGAAAAGGCAACCATATCACCTACAATTCTGCTGTTTTTCATATTTGCTGGATGGACAATCAATGAAAACCCATCCCGGATGCATTAATTCAACTTGAACTTATTTAGAAGTTAGGCTCTCATGATCAACATTCAAGAACAGGGGCAGCATGCAATGTTACTAATAGCCACAGATTTAATCACACAACATGTCATCTATTGGTGCACCAAGATTGATGGGTTGGGCTGGTTCAAGGATGTTGGTAGCCACGGTCAGAGGATTAAATTTTGGGCTCTTGCGGCCAGAAATGTGAAGGCAAAAGTAACATTTGGATTTGAACATTGCCATGGACATAATCAAAGCAAAATAATCTTCAATTGATCAAAGCTTCTTGGAAAGAAAAAAAAATCAAAGTAAAATTTAGCCTTCCAAATGAAACATTTGCTTGTGTAGCTGGATAAGAAAATATTAGCCCGGTTCACAATAGCCAGTCGCAATGGCTGATCACCTTTTCAAAAGTTGCTGATAGCAAATTTGTTTAGGATGGATCGGAAATAATCTGGGGGACTCTGGACTACACATTCAATAATGGATGTGTTTTTTAAGTACCAGTGATTTTCTGATTGCAGCTAAAAGTCTTGCTGATGCCTGGCTATTGTGAACCGGGCTATTTTAAATTACCACAACACTGCTGCTTTTTTGTTGTGGGAGAGGTGCTGTGAGAGATACAAATTTTCAGAAGATTTCTTTTTTTGGGGAGGACAGAAGATAAAAATTTGGAAGCAACTTGAAGTTTAGAAAAATAGAAGGCTGCAATGTAAGTTTGCAACTGCTGTCTTCTGCTATCTACAACCAGTCTAAAAAAGTGCCTGTTGGTCGTGACTGCCTGAAAAACCTCATTGAAAAAATGAGTAACACTACACACCCCACTATCTTTTTTACCCAATCAGGTTGCCTCATAAAATCGTCAAAAAGTTGATCGATTGTCGGAACTGCAATCAAACAAAAATTAATTACGTGCACCCAGTTTACGGAACGTTACTTTTTGTGCTCACTTCTAGAGGTACTCCACTTGATACTCTGAATCATGGGGTTCATCATCTCTGTCACACGATGAGAGATCCCGGCTTGGCGTTCAATCTCTGGGTCCAGGTTTTTCACTCGGATTGATGGTTGGCCAAGGTCACTTATAGCTAAACCAAGTCGAAAACATACAAAATAGAAGTGATGCCTCTCAGCTCGGTGGCGTTGAAATTCAAAGTAAGACAAACTTCAAGCTAGTTGTTCTCACAGTGACCGTCCGTGCTTGATGACGACTGAATGGATCGATGCCTAACCGGGTCACCTTGCAGTTGTCCTTCGTTTTTTTTTACCAGAAAGCCGGTCGGTTATTCACGTTCCTCGTACTCTCAAGAGTAGAGAGAAAATGAGGGATGAAAAAAACGAAACTTACTCTGGCGCGCAGCGGTGTCGGTTTGGGCGGGTGTCTCTGATGGACGAAAGTCACCCGATCTTGCAGTGAATGGGATACCATCGTCAAAAACATCTAATGCCATTTGGCCATGGTTTGATTTGGAAGCTGGAGCATGAGCGAAATTGAAGATCAGTCACTCTCACAATCCGAAGCAGGGAGAAAGGTGAGTCTCAATCCTCATTTACCAGCTTGTGGAGCTACACCTGCGATCAACTCTTCAGGGGCTTTCTGCGTATGGACAGCATCACCAGCTTGTTGCATACTACAATAGCCTTGCAACAGGCTGAGTGCCACGATCACTTTTGATAGCATCATCTCTAGGTCTTGACTCAGGGTGTGTGGATCGGACGGATGACCAGGGTTGTCTTTACTCTGTGCAACCGCTAATTCAAGCTCATCCTAAAAGTGTCGGGAGCCAAGTGCTGGAAAATTAGATCATCAGGCTGCAAGCAACGATGATTGCATCGAATTGTGTATAAAATTTGTAACACGTCAAGGATTCAAGGCCACAATACAAATGAGTTCGACATTCACCCTTGACAAATCAATTGCAAGAACAAAGCTGTGAACACGCCGTCTTGTTGTGGAATAAAACACGATGGACAAACCTTTTTATGAGCCGTGGAAGTCGACTTTTCCTAAACAAGTTTCCGATGTCAAAGCGGCCCTTTGGCTCTCACTGAAGAACATATTATCAGAACTATTGCAAGGGGAAAAGAAAAGGTTTTTGAGGCGAAAACTTCTCATAAATTGATAGAGCCAGAGTTCCACAACTTGCCAAGTGGCTATTTCGGAATTTAATCGAGATGCTCATGAGAGGCCAAAATATGCTGAACACATCCAATCTTCCTGTCCATAGCTGGTTTTCCCGCACGAAACAGACACAGCAAGCCTAACCTTCTAAGAAAAAAAAACATGTTCAAAAATATCTGGAAGGCTCATGACAATGTTGATCCCCATGGTTTGATATATTTTACCTTATCAGTGCATGGAAATTGGAATCCTAAACCTCAAACTTGTGGAGGCGTTTTATGTCAGGATGTGTTGACATTGGAAGGCCTGTGGACATTGTCTTTTGTTGAAGAGCCTTTCACATTTTGGAAAATCACAAACATACCTTTCTTGCAGAAATTGGTAGCATTCATTAACTGTCACTCTTTTCAACAGGGATTTCATTTGGCTGAAGCTCAGAAGCCAACCCTATCAGATCTGAATTTTCTTGGGAGCCAAGACCTCAAAATTCCAATTTGAGATGCAAGACCCAGATCACATTCTAGCCACAGACCCCAGTCCTTCATGAGGCGAAAAAGATGACTCTGATTTCAACATTCATAATCACACAACAATGCCAGAATAAGCATCTCCTGTTGGTCAAATCTTTTTATCAAAGTACACAAAATTTGATTGTGATTGAGTGAAGTTTGGCCAACCTAAATGAACCGTGCTGAAAAAACTAATTAAATTGCTCACCACCAATGATGTTTTGGCGCAGAATGATGTCAAAAATAATGTGGAGATACAAAATTTTAGAAATCAACTTTTGTTAATTTGAAGACTGTGTACAGATGTATGTAAGCTAGTTGAAAGATCAAATTTTGAGAATTACATAAGAGTGTGTAAGCTTAGGATTATATAAGCTGTGAATGATGATCAACTGGCAGAGGTCATACAATGAAAAGAGCAAGAGTAAGGGGAAAACAATCCGTTCTACTACATAGGTATTGTTGTAACCCACAAGGGGTTACGGGCCCTGAGACTCGCCGCAGTCCCTATATATCTCTGCCATGGATGCAGATCCGAGGGAGAGACCTTACGGAATCTATTTACCACATTCTCACTTCCTTCCCCGAGATTCCCGTGTGAGGTGCGAACAGGTATGTACTTTCTACAACCAGTTTTTCCAACAACCTTTAGGTTGTGGTGGCCTAAGGATCTCAATAAGAAGAATTGCACATATATAGACTCCGACGGTGATGATGAATAACTCGGGGAAGTCCCTTTGAATGATTTGCTTTATCTGAGCTGTAAACAAACCAAACAAACAAAAAACAATTAGCTCCTTGAGTTGCATCCTGCGGTTTACAGAAAGAAAGAAAAAAAAAATGTTGGGGACTACGTCTAGTGAGATACCAGGTTCTCCTTTGGATCGCTGTAGGATTTAGGATTTCTCTCGACTCAGGAGACCTTCCGTCCGGTCTTTGAATTGCCGAGTTCTGGTGTCTCCTCGGGTATGATATCTGATCAAGGTCGCCCGTGTCTAAGCCAAGTAGAAAAAAGAAAACAGCCAATTATGATCCTTCTCAGCCCCGTAGAATCTGTCAACTAGAAACCAACAACAGCCCCCCATTCCGGATGGGGTTTTTTTTTTTCTCACCTTGTCCGTCCGGAGGCGATATCGAGTGAAAGGATCCGTGTCTATCCTGGTCGGCTAGCGCTAGTCCTTCAATTGGCGGGAAGACTGGTTGAGGAAAGAGAGACGGAAATTGCGGACCGAAAGAAGTGTGACTTACTCTGGTCCACCATAGTTTCGGCCTGCGGGTCTGTCTGCGACGGACGGAAATCTGTCGGTCTAGCCGGCCCTGGCAAGCTATCACTGAGCACGTCTACTGCGGTCTGATCACGGTTCGAACTCGTAGCTGGAATGTCAGGGGAATGGAGAAACACCTCTTATCTCAGCTGTCTTCTATCGCATATATTCTGCCCTTCGAAAAAAAAGAAGAGAGGGCGTTTATGTATGGGCTAACCTGAGATTGAGTGTTGGGGGTAAGAGATCACAGTCCGATTGACGTCCGTAAGCATTCGAAATGTGCGAAATTGGTGCCAGTGAATTCGACCATAGGTCATTCAGCCAGCCATCCTCAGCAATCCTAAGCAGAGCGAATAAGCGAACGAAAGGAATCGAGATTTAGATACCTGCGTTTGAAGCGCTTCCTGTGACCAACGTCTCGGCAACTCTTTGGGTATGCAGAGCAGCATCGCCGGCTTGTTGCATGCTATGATAGCCTTGCAACAAGCTGAGTGTCACGATTATCTTCGATGGCTTCATCTTCACTCAGGGTGTGTGGGTCGGATGGGTGGGTTGTCTTTTTCCTACGGCTACCTATATGGGACCGGGAAGTCAGGCTTATCACACGCGATCCGTCCAAGTCCTGGAGCTTACCAGGGCATAGATAACAAGAAACGAGAATGGCTGCCACCAGTGATGATGTTGTACAAAGCTTGCGACGCGTCAAGGGTTCGATTGAATTAAAAGGAGGCCACAGGCCACAACGTACTGCAAGAATCTTCGACTTTGGTCCAACCTGCCGCGTTCTTGTGAGGGATAAAAAGATTACACACACACACAGAAGATATGCAGCTTTTCTTATGGATGTAAATATGTAAAACAAGTTTCCGGAGCAAAAAACGGGCCTATGGCTCTACGTGTTGTCAAAGCAAGATTGCAGCATTTCAGTCGATGGAAGTGGAGGGCCGCTGGTGTGGCAAGGATGGGCGGCGCGGGGGAAGACTCGGTGCCCAAGAAGAAGGGAATGGTGAAGAGACTTGACTACATTAGTCCCGCATTGGAGGGCGGACGCCGTGCCGCAAGGACCCTGCCCTCCCTCCGATGGGCGCAATGCAACACCGACAAAGGAGGGTAGGGACTTAGTTAAGTTGGGCACATGGAAACGTTGCGAATTTTAATGGTCAAAGAAAAAAAAGAGACGAATAATCTAAAAAAAGTACAACAATCTAGAAAAGAAAAAGACATGGTTCCAAAATTTTCAATGAGGAGGAAGAAAATATAAAGTACAATACGATACAAGACCACGAACAAGAAACAAGCCATGCTAGATGAAGAATGAGTACATAGTCGGGAAAGAATAGCTATAGTGAACAAGCACAGCAGCTGGAAGAGTTATGTAGAATATATACAAGCAGAAAGAACCCGATGTATTTGAAAAGGGGTTACTGAGTGTAAGCATGGCGGTGAGAAGTTCTCCGACTCAAGGAGTGTCCCAAAGCGGGCGATTGGGATATGACAGGATGGTTGAGGGGTGAGAGGTGAGAAGAAGCAGCGGCGGCAGCGATCCGAGTCAAGCTAGAGTCGAGCAGTTTTTTGGCATGCATGCCGTCGTCGAAGCCGGCGGGGGTGCCGAAGATATCGGAGACGAAGAGGGGCACCTGGACGATCAGGTCGGGGATGATCGAGTAGAGGGCGGCCCGATGGAGCCGGGCCAGATACACAAAGATCTCGTCGACCGGTTGGCCCTCATCCGTCTCGTAAACCTCCGGCCGCTTGTTGTCCATCAGATCGAGAACCAGTTTCCGGCCCTTCCTCGATAGTGCATAGCCATGTCCCCCTAGAAGAGAGGTCTCGACATCGGTGTTAGCGCGTTCCCTTGGGACCATTCAAAGGCAGTCCAAGAGATCATCTGGTTCACCAGGAATATATGGCTCACCTTGCGGCTCGACCGACTTGTAGATATAGAAGTTGTTGGTCGATGGGTCCGGCCCGTTTCGGGCTTCGTTGCTGAAGTCGGTATGGCCGAAGAAGATGATGTCCCAGTCCTTAGGAACGTCCCTCAGGATGGTCCCGGCGAGGTATTTGAATGCGGCCTCGATATCGACATCGTCTGAAAAAAAATACGACACCGATAATCCACAGAGAGAGTCATAAATGAGATCAGAGGAGAAAAACGGAGGAAGCGCGGGAGAGAAGAAGAGTGTATACCTTCGAGGATCAAAGTGATTTCGTCGTCATCTGTGTCAGCAGCCTCGATAGCCAACCGATGAGACATCCGACAAGCCACATGGCCGACCTCGGCGATCTTTTTATCCGCCTTAGTGTTGTTGCCGATCCGCTGGACGATCTCGAGGACGCGGGGGTCGGAGTAGAGGACGGCGTCGACGAAGTGGAGGTTGTCGAGCTGGAGGAAGTCGGCGAGGGTCTGCATGTGCATCCTGCGGTCGGTCCGCGAGTTGAGCGAGACCACCCTGACCGAGCTGAAGCTCGGCAACTGCGCTTGCAAGGCCTCCACCATGCCTGTCGTCGTCGTCGTCGTCGTCGTCCGTAAACCATTGTTTTTATCTTGCAGACGGCTCAACGCGGTCCCAGATCCCGGCCAGCCTGGAAACTGGGACCGGAAGGCCGTGCCAGTGGTCGTGATGTTGGGCAGGATCTGGGTGAGGAATAAGGTCAGACTGATGAACAGGGCAATCACCAACCAGGGTGAGGAGCCAGACGAAGAACTGTTCATCATTTGTTTGTCAGTTTGATGATGAGGATGTCCTATCTCAAGAGAGAGAAAGAACACTTACGACTGATGATGGGATGCTTTAGAGTACATTTTGTTTTTTGGGGGGAGATGATGGAGATTGTGATGGGAAGAAGGACAATGAGAACTGGTCAGTGGTTTTTATAGGATTGAGTCTCTCAAAATGGAAATTGACAAACAACCCGCCATCTCTGGCTGATGGCCCGAACAAAGCTCTGTACTGAACCTGCAAGCAATCAACCCGCCCACTTCCACTTACATAGCTGATCCAAGCAAGACTGGTCTGAGTACACACACTTGGTCAAGCTTGGATGGACAGGGGTGGCTGAAGAGATGCTCCGGACGGCCGACGTCGTGTTTCTGCACTCTCCTGATCTGCAAGCTTGCAATTATTTAGCTCGAGCCTGATGTGGTACCATTACTCTGGGTTCAAAGGCTTTCTCAGATCCTCGTATCCTCCATACGCCATGATCACCTGAATCGTATATGGATCATCAGTTATCCTACCCGGCTCACTTCCACCCCCAGAGCACACCTGTACGAACGGTCCGACTACTTTGGGCCGAACTTGGGAAGCAACTGAAAAGCATGTCAAGCAGGGCAACGTTGGTTGGGGCCGAACCGCCGAGCCCAAGTAGCTACATACATAGCGGCAGTGTTCATGCTCCAGCCACCAGTCTACATATTCATAACATTTTTTTGGCAACCACATGAAGATTGTGCATCCACAGGGGAGCCATCTGCCGACGGTTTTCTGAGAAATCACAAATTAAGCTGTGAAAGGTGTGGTTGCTGATTTGTGGAATCCAGTAGTACACGATCAGCTGCCTGAATAAGTTTGGTATAGGAAACACCAGTCAATGAATTGAAGAAGTACTCATACAAAATGCAAAGCTCAGTGGCAATAGGGAAGGGAGAATATAATATATAACTTAGATCAGAGAGGTGTGCTTGAATGAATAAAAATCTTTCAAGAGCTTCCAACACTTTTAGCTGTAAATAGTTTGGAGCCTAGATGGATGGATGGATGGTATGACTTCTACTACTACTGGAGTAGTTGGCCGTCGCATTTACTGGTCCCCTATTTGATGAACTGAGCAATCAAACAAGTCAGGGAACATTAAAAAAAAAAAAAAAAAAATCAAGAATTGACTTCATAATCTTGTCGCTGACCAATAAGCAATGCTTCTTGTGAACTTGCAAGATTGTGGAGTCGCGTCGGGTGGACAGCTCATTTGAGCGGTTTCCTTGACGAATTGTATGCTGTGATCACCTAATAGATGAATCACATTCTCGATAGTTTATCAATTTTCCGTATGCATTTGAGTCAACAATCTGGACATGGCCAGCTTGCCTGAACCTCCAGCTTTCCAGCAGACACCAAAATCCGGTTCACATTTCCATCCTAAAACTTCTCCAACGAGCATGACCAGTCACACAAAAAAAAGAAGAGGACTGAAATGGATCGTTTACAATAAAAGGGGATTGCTTACTTGTTGTTTGGTGAGATGTGATGATTTTGGGAAGAGTGATAAGGTGATATACTACGACTATAAGTTTATATCGGAGAAAGGCGTGATTTTGATAATGGTCTATGAGGGCATTTATATTCCGTCTTGCCAGAATACTTGGCCGGATACAACAAGCGTGTTTCACCGTTGGTAGCTATGCCCGTGATTCTTGCTGGCGAACCATTCGAAGGCCGGGAGATGAACTGTGCTGATTGAGTGGTGCGTCCCAACAATGACTGGTTGCTGGCACTCAAATCTGAGCGACGATTCCACACCTGTTGCGTAGATTCATTCATGATCCCATTGGTAACTAACTATATGGACTCTTGCTGTCAGTGGATCCATGCCAAGTTGAGAAAAAGCTGCACCTATGATAAAGGTGGCTGTGAATCCTAAATTCCCTCTCAATCAAGATTATTTTGGTGAGGTTGGCTTGGATGCCATAAGCTCTGTTTGACAAGCTTAACAGATGGTATGTAAAAACCAAGCGATGGTTCGCTCCTTCCATCGAAATCTTGGGCTGTTATCAAAAAGCTATGCAAGTAAAAATCAAGCTGATAGGCGGGTATCGACGCCCTTCAGTAGCCAAAAGAAAGCCTGAGCCTATCATCCTGCCCATATGATCGAAACAGACTAGACTTTCAAAGCGGGATGTAAAAAAAGACAAGAGACCATTACATTCAAGAAATTAGAGAACTCGATAGATTAGTTGATGGAGAGCAATTACAATTCATTGATTGATAGTTCTTTTGAGATTCTACGCCATACTAAATGGTCATGTGGATTATAGCTATTAGTTCTGGTGATAGCTGAAGGTTTGGCATCGATTTTAAAGATAGAACCTGTTCAATTGGAAGCTCTTCAAATGAGCTCTGACTCTACTTTCTAAGCGAGGATTATAACAACAACGCCCAAGCTTAGTGAAGCTATGATGCTCTTTGGTAAGGAAGTCAACAGATTGCCCGAATTAGGCTTCGATCCATTTTTGGCCTGCACCCCCCCCCCCGCCACATTGCAACGAAACGATTTCAGTCAACCAAATGATCTCTCGATTTCATAAATCAGACTCCATCTTACATTCTTGTCTCCTTTGGAATCCGATGAGCCGGCGGGAGTTTTTGTGGACTGGAACGGTGCATAGATGAAGAAACATCAGACATAATCTGGGCCTGTTCATTTTTCTGACGTAGATACTATAAGCTTGGAGACAGTGACCTACGGGTGAGGTTGAGTTTGCGCCTTTCATACCAGAGATGTGCATGTCCGTTGCCTTCCATCATTGTCAAGTATTCCATTCTCAAAAATCAATATCACGCTTCTGCGGTATGGGGACGTGCTAAAAAAAACTCGGTGGGGGTGATCAAATCTGCTTACGCTTTGGAAAATGACACGCCCGTTTGTGTCCTATAGAAATACAAAAGAAAGCAACTCAATCTACAACATTCTTGTCTCTGTTGTCTTTGTACGACTGGAATTTAATGGCAAAGTTGGGCACTCACGGTGATTGGAAACACAATTTTTTTCCCATTTCCATCTTGGAGCTATTTATTTATCAAAAAATTAAAGAAAATGGAGCAGTCAGTTTGTTCTTCTGTTGCAGGACGATAAACAATGTTATGATCATTTCCGAAAGAGAGAACAGGAGCAAAATTGATTTTGAGGGCATACCGGAGCAGTAAAACCACCCGGACCAGCGGGGACCGGCGAAGTATTGGTGGAATTCAAGCTGGTACCGGCCGATGTAGTGGGCATAGTTACAGTAGCTCCTCCAGTCACAGGAGGTGTGAGTCCAGGTTGGGGGAGTGTGGTTGGCGAATCAAGCTATTTTCGCAGAGGAGAATTCGTACATCACAATCGTCATCAGTGAGACTGAAGAGATCTTGGGTCTACAAAGCCATTTCGGGGAGGCTGAGAAAGACCTTACAGTCGGCTTTGTGTCCGCTGTCTTGCCAGCGGTGGTGGCAGTTGGATCTTGAGTTGCTCCAGTGGGTACAACACTGGAAGCGGCCGGTGAGGAAGTAGCTGGCCCCACCGGGGAAGTCGCCGGGATGGTCGCCGATGTGGCCGGATCCTAAAACCAAAGGCACAGGAGGTGATCAAAGGGGATCAGTTCTCCATATAAAAACATGTTTTCTTTGCTTAGATCTTACCGTCACATCCTGAGTCTGCACAGGCCCGCTTATACTTATGCAGAGACAAAGGAAAAGCAAGGAAATGCCCCCTCTTTTGGTTAAAGTATTGCCGAAAGACATCGTCATTAACGCGTGAAATTGGGTATGAAAATTCCGAGGAATCGGTCCTGCGTGATACTGATACTATATAGTCAGTTCTCAATGTTAAGGACCTTATTTTGATTTTAGATTTGTCTATCTTGTATGATCTTTCTGAATGTCGAGTTTCTCTTGTCTAAAAAGAGGTGAGTGGCGGGCGAAAACATCTTTAATGCTAGAAAGAGTCTTCCTTTAATTGCAAGTAATGTGTTGCTTGATTAATTATTCTTTTGGTCATTTCCAAAGACATCTCCATCCCGGTAACCATACAACACCGAGACCACCGATCATAGACGGATTTTAATATGTATCGAGCGGTTGAAGTAGGTTGCCAAACTGGCCCTCCTTCCATTGGGTCTCCGGTAACTGATGTAATACTTGACATGGGCTGGGCAACTGAGGGAGAACGCAGAAATTCATCGAAGCAACGCACCCAAATTCATCTGTCTTTAATTAGGAAATGGTGCTATGAAAAAAACCTATGACAATAATGCTTAAGAAACGGCCCAACGGGCTCGAGGGAAGTCTGGGGAATTATGTGTTAGTTTGCGCTCTTCCAGGACTTTTTTCCTAACTGTATTCTTTTTGTATTCTTTAGCCAATTGGCATAAGTTTATGTATCATTACATTTGTGTTTTTTCTCAAGGTCTCAAAATTGCAAAGACTCGGTTTAATTTTGCAGTTACCGAACAGCAGCCACTGCCATCCAGAGAGCAGCGGAAACCCGCAAGGGATTTGTGCACCCCAGAAACTGGGTGTTTGTACAAAACCTTGTCTTGCCTACAGCAGCATGTCCCAGTTTCCACCTCACAAGATCACAGGTATGAAGATATCGAGTAGCTTAGCTCCGCTATGTACAACTCCTGCCATGAATAGAAGGACTTCAGAAGGCCAAACTTGGTTCGAATTACTCGGGCAAGTCAGTGCATAATATCTCCAAGTTATGCTGGTTTCAAGGTGGATGATGACTGTCAGAAAGCTCGTCACTTGGTCTTCGCAGGAGAAGTTAACTGAAGACGATGGGACCGAAAAAAGGTGGATACACAGTTGTGGGCGGAATGGCATGATTTTTCTGATTTGCTCAAATAGATGTAGGTTCAGCTTATGACTAACTACGGGAAAGGAGTTAAATATTTGAGATATCCCTGAGCCACCATGTTATTTTATCAAGTAATCGAGTATGTCACCGGTTATTAAGCAAGAAAAGCTTGCGAGAGAGATGCCAAAACGAACGACTGGAATAATCTCCATTGTTAAACATTCGAAGCATCGGGGTCCTAAACAAGTTCAAAATGAACAAAAAGTCGGCCATAGAGCGCTGGGGACCATAACCTTTTTTTTTTTTTCAAGTTGAATGTGTTAGTACTCCTTCATGAAACCTGTGAGTAATGAAAGTGGCGGAAATAAGTGGAAATGTGAATTTTGAAGGAGCTGCGGTACCTTCATCCCCAAATTCATCCAGGAAGGAATTCAGACAGGGTCTAAGAAGATCCCGTCGCACTGTCTATGTACCTGCGAGAATCGTCTCATGGGCAAGGGTTCCTGAGCAAACATCGATATGAATTTCCAAGTGTTATAAGGATTTCGAGGTTGTAGAGATTGGATGCGACCAGCTATGTAAGCGGCTTTCTCAAAGATAGATGGAGATTGAAGGAAAGCTCGCCATTTGTATGGTGAGCGATGTCTGGATAGTTTATCAACCATGAGAACATCCGACTGGGGCTTTCGTCGTGTGAGATGCGATCGAAGCCACGCGTTCGTAACTCGAGTATAGCTTACTTCAACATTGCTTAAAAGCTGGAAGTTCAGATGCCAATTTGATGGCTGGACTTTTGAGTCCCATGGTCATCACAAGGATCTACTCGTTCGAGGATTGTGATGGAAGGGGTATTTAATGCGAGCAAAAAAAAACATAATGCCAGTCGATAAGCCGGTCTGCGATCTTCCTTGTGTTCAAACTTTCCTCTTCTTCTTTGCTTCTTGAAGGTATTCCGGCATTTATTTATTTTGATTCATATCCTCAGCTTAGTATGGTTAATCCTTCTTCGGACATGCCACCATCATTTTCGGTGAACTTGGTGCGGCGCGCTTCTGTTCAAAGCCGAGTCGTAAGGGAGTGTGGCTCGCAAAGTTCTAGTCACTATAATCTCAAGCGTCTCTCGCAAGATCTTTCTCAAATATCTTCAAACGGCCTGCTGTGGTATGGAAAAGCGAGTGAAAGCTACGAGGTCCACGTCAATACAGTCCCTAACCCGGGCCGGCTACAAAGGCGACTATCGCAAATCATAACTCCATCGAAATTCTGGCGGGATGATGACAGCCCGCTCGAAGAATTTAAGGACTTGAGCGGCGACACCGACGGAGACGAGATAGAAAACCCGACAGAAGCTTCCCATGAGATCACCAGACCTGGCAGCCGAGCATCTTACCGCCACACCTACAATCTTCCCAACAAGAAGTTTTGTGTAGCAAAAGACCAAGTGGAAATCGACTATGTAAACAACAAGTATAAACAGGTCATATATCCTCATCTACCTATCACCCGACTATCCGCGGGCAACAGAAACTCGACCTACACATCGGGACTAGCCTCCTTCGCGGCCACGGAGTCTCAAGTTTCGCTTTCTAGTATCTATTCGGACAATACCGAAGCTTCCTTGACGTTGGAGTTAACAAGCGAACAGGCGGCGCCTCAGCTTCCTACTGGAGATCTCCCGGTAGCTCGTGATATTAGTATCAAGACTAGAGAAAATTATAGTAAGCCACTTCCTCCGCCAATTCTCAGAACAAGGTATTTCTAACAAAAAAATTGGACATGTTTTTGTGTTTAGATGCAGAAGGAGTAGAACAAGCGATCGTGAAGCAGAAAACACGCTCACGCCCGCTGGCACGATGTTTGGTCAGTCACCTGCGGGTTCGTTGGGTGGTCCAACTCGTTCACTAACATTCATCCATCCTTGTCGGTTTAGAAACGCGCCAAAAAGTCGATTGGGTTGGATAAGGCTGGCAAACGAGTGGAATCGTTTAAAAGTTCTAAGCTCCACAATATATTCAAGAAGGTCAGACAGTAACGCTTTTTTTTTTTAAAAAAAAAAAGACAGGTTTCTAACGTTGTTCACGTCACAACACTTTCATCCCTCCAGCATGTTGCTGTCACTCAACAGAATGGTTTCTCGGAAAACATACGGTCAAATATTGGAAAGCAGTAAGTCTGGTGATAATGACTTAATATTCTCAATGTCACTGATAGGTGACGTTATTACCCTCTATCGATTGGATTGTCAGATACTTCAGCCGCAAGCCATTCTAACTGTGCACCACGTGTAGGTCGCCGACTCGCTGGCTACTGTAGTCATATAGGCTTATAGTTGCTATCTGAGTCAAGTCTGATACTTTCTCAACCAACTTCAATTTTGCCATTCTTCAGCTCCCGGCGAATCCCAAAACTGCGAATAAAAACGATTTCATGGTATCCAGACTCTTGTCCTCATTCCTGTTTTGTATTCACTACTTAGCTATCACATCACCCTTGCATTTCACTTACTTGACACTATGAATCTCCAATTAGTGTTTTCCTCCTGTCACAATAGTGTTCTTAGTCATATACAAGGAAATAATCATACCTCAATGAAGATACCACCTGTTTGGACAGCCCTGTCTGGACTGTGATCAGAAAGATTGTGTCCGACCAGCTGTTGCCAGCAGGGTTTGACCCACGGAGATAGTTATAAAGGTTCCGGACTGGCTTGCCAGATTCTTTCATTCCAGTAATGTCCTCGTCTGTTTTCTGGGATCACAGTGGTGATTAAGTTCTATCCCTGTTTCTTGCAAACAGCTTTAGCAAGAATTGGGGATCATGAGACTCATCATCACCTGCAAGTTGACAGTTCATCAGTTCACCCTCTGATTCCTGACTAGCTTAACACCTGCCCCTCATTTCAGAGTGAGGCGGGTGAAACACCGCCAGGCGCCTCCAAAGCGGCGGGTGCGGGTGTCAAAATTTGAGGTAAAAACGGGTGCGGGTGTGGGTGCGGGTGCGGGTGTCAACATTTGCGGTAAAAAATGGCAGGTATCCGGGTACCCGCCTTACACCTGCCCTGGGAATGCTTCCCCTGAAGAATTTAATTTATCATTGGTGGTCCAACACTCCCTTTTTTGGGTGTGTTGGGCTGCACAAAGGTGTCAGCAAGCTGGTGTCCTACATGTGTTGCTGAACTAATCTGGTTGCTTTGTTGAGGCCAGAGGGTTCCCTCCAGCCTTTGAGATGGTGTACAGTCTTGATGACTGGAGGAATTCCTCCAGTCATAAAGACGGTGTACAGTCTTCATCAATGGAAATTGAATAAGGCAAATGAGGCCAAGCAAAAGGGTAAAGCTAAAGAAAGATCAGAGAGAAGATAAAATTCAAATTGGTGATAGAATATTTTTTTTCTTTTTTTCTTTATTTTTATTTTATTCTTACTCATATATCTAGTGAATATCAATCTTGTATTTACCAAGTCATGCAGAAATTCAAGGGTGAGATTTCTGGGTATATTTGCCTGCAAAAATGTGCCAGGTACCCGGCGCAGGTACCCAGGTACCCGCCCTGGCAGGTGCGGGTGTCAAAAATATTGGATTTTTGAGGCAGGTACCCGGGTATCAAGCGACATCTCTAAACCGCGGCATCATCAGGGACGATGAGTGGCTGCTGTTCCTGAAGAAGGTCATGCTTAGAGCTGGTCTCTGGATATCCGCTATCCGCTGGCGGATACCCGCCAGAGCCAACGGATACCCGCCAGCGGATGCAGGTTCGGATGTGAATGGCCCCTTTTCCGCAAAACCCGGGCGGGTATCCGGGTATCCCAAGGGATACCCGAGGCCAGAAGGGCAGATGGTCGGCTGGAAGGGTTTCCTTCCAGCCGGCAAGGTACATGTACCTTGACAGCTGGAAGGATTTCCTTCCAGCCGCCTCGCCGGCCCTTTAAAGGGCGGGTATCCGTGGATACCCGCTTGGATACCCGTTGTGGCTGAGGGATACCCGCTAGCGGGTGCGGATGCAGATGGCCATTTGGCCGGAAAAAGCAGCCGGATATCCGGATGCGTAGCGACCAGCTCTAGTCATGCTACACTTATAGAGTGGTAAAGGGGAAGTTGGAACCAGGGTAGGAGTAGGATACTGGGCAAGGTTGGGGCCAGGAAGAGAAGAAGAGTTAGGATGAGATCAGGCTGTCAATGGGCCGGGCTCGGGCCCAAAAACCATGCCCAAACCCGCCCCGCCTTGGAACGTGGGGCGGGGCGGGTCGGGCCCCAATTCCAAAAAGTATGCCCAAACCCGCCCCGGCTTTTAGACAGTCGGGCTCGGGGCGGGCTCGGGGCGGGTCTTGGGTCTGCCCATCAAAAAGGTTTTTTTTTTTGCCTGAGTATCATTCAGTGACCTTCGGTCACTCAAGCGACTGAGCTGGTAGGTCGTGCTTCCATTGCATGATATATAAATCTAGTGATATCGTGTATTTGATATGTAATCAAGCCTTCTCGTGTATTTAATCTTGTATTTAGGTATGTATGGCAGACAAGAAGAAAGAGAGACAAAAGTAGTAGGTAATAAAGCCAGTCGTGTATATATGTGTATATGAGTATCAAGAACAGAGACAAAAAACAAATTCAAGAGGTTACCGATACTTCGTCATTGGCCTCATCGGCTTGGTCCAGACCCTCATCTTGCCGGATCCAGTCTTGACCGCATACGAGGGCTTCAAGGGTATTAGCATGCAGACTACTACGGAAGTCGCTGAGAACACGGCCGCTGGTTGAAAAAGCTGATTCCGAAGCGATCGATGTCATTGGTGTCATGAGGATCCGTCTTGCAAAGAGAGAGAGAGTCGGAAATCGAGAGGCATGATGTTTCCACCAGCTGAGAACATCAAAAGATTGTGAGTCCATTGGGATTGGCGGCTCTTGAAGATACAAGTCGATTTCGGCTGTTGGTGAGGAAGAGGTGACTGTCTTTTTACTAGCAAGATAGACCTTGAACTCCGCATCTTCGTCTTCTTCAGCAGCAGTCTTCCTTTTATTCTTTTCAGATAAACTGGTACCCGCTGCTTCCCCTTCCTCTGTCGCGGCCGTAGGATTGTGAGTCTGGGCGATCTCGGTGAACCATTCATAGAGATCGGTTCGAATTCGATTGAGGCTGTCAGCAACTCGGTCGGAGTCTTGTCCATCCGAAAGCAAGAACTCGATGAGTTCTAATTTACATCGTGGGTCAAAGGTGAGACTGATGGCCGCAATGTGCTTCATCTCATCCCAGTATTTGTTGAACTTGATGTACATTGGCTGGGTGATTCGCTTGATGTGATCGGTCGCATGATTCTCGCTATCGGTCAGTTGTTTCTCGATCTTTTTCATGAGCTTATAGACCTTGTGTGCAGTTGGATACCGAGTACCTCCAAGCTTCAAGGTTGCTAAAGGACCAGGATAAGGAATTGATTCAGCTGTCATCAATCTAGAATAACATTGAAAATGAAAGAGCTCCTCACCAGTATTAAAAATTGATAAGAAGTCTTGCATCGTTTGTATCTCATCCCACTCTTCAGAGGTTGGGCAATGAGTATAATTAGCATCAGACATAGACAGGTTAAGAAACACCTCTTTGTATGGCAAGGCCGAGTTCATCATGAGGTAAGTGGAGTTCCAGCGAGTGGGAACATCAACCGATGGAAGAGCTGGCAGTTTTGCATTGGTAAGGTTGATCGCATCTTGGAAGAGTTGCTTACGCGCCGAGGTACTTTTTGAGTATCGAACACTATCACGGATTTTGTTGACCGCAGATGAGACAATCTTGAGTCCGTCCTTGACAACTAAATTGATGATGTGTGCAGCACATCTTACATGAAAGTATCGGCCCTGCATTTCGGGGGGAGTTGTGCTTCGTTCGGCGAGGACAGAGGAGACGCGATTGATTGTGACATCATTTGAGGATGCGTTGTCAACAGTAATGGTACCGACTTTGTTGATAATCTTCCATTCAACGATGGTGTTGATCAGTTGCTCGGCGATGGCTAAACCGGTGTGAGGTGCGGGGATTTCCTTGAACGAGATGATTCGTTTGTTCAAGGACCAGTCCGGCAAGATGAAATGGGCTGTGACCACCATGAAAGGGGATTGATTCGACGATGTCCAGAGGTCTGTGGTTAATGAAACACGTTCTACGTTAGCGAGTTCGGCGATCAATTTGGCCTTCATGGACTGAAACATCGCCATGACATCGGACTTGAGCGTGTTGCGGGTGTAGAGTTTAAATTTGGGCTGCAAAGAGTGGATGAAAGTCTTGAAAAGGGGGTACTCGATCGAAGTGAATGGCTGCTCATGGGCCATAATCATCTTGGTGAGGAGATCGCGTGAGAGCTGCTGAGAAAAGGTCCATGTCGATGCAGTGTCAGCACTGCCAGAAGTCGCGAATCGCAACAAGGACTGCTTGTTCTTCCTCTGATATGATGAGCATCGGTCGATGTGTCGCCAAAGGTGGTTTGTGCCACTCGTGCTTCTGGCAGAGAGTTCACCAAGGCAATACTTGCATATTGCCTTCAACTCTTGACCTACAATAAAAGATGATGAAAAGCGAACAGATGAGAATAAGTACTTCTAAGTTCTAACTTCATAATAGCAAACAGAATTGACATACCGTGGCCTTCAGTATTAAAATGCTCCCAGATGTCACTAGTCGTCTTGCGTTTCTTGGATTTCGTCATGTTTTCCGTTGGAGTGCTGGATGGGTCCTCTGAGGCACTTGGTTGTGGGGGAGTTGCCGTCGATGGGGTTGGGGTTTGCGGAGCGGAGTCAGATATGACTGTGATATCCTCGTTTGATTCGGGCATGGGGCTTTCCTTGCCCTTGGACTTGGCCTGCTTTTTTGAAACTTTGAATCTAGGGGGCATGACGATGTCGATGAGATATGCAGCAAACAGTGTGTATCCAGGTACTGACCATGGTTATGGGATTCTGGGCCCTCAAACCTAATAATATGTACTGTGAGTACACATTATTAGGTTAATTCTGATGATAGTCAGAATTACTCGGGCTTTTCATGGGCCGGATGGGCCGGCCCACATCCAGGAAAGCCTGCCCAAACCCGGCCCATGAATTTGGTGGGTCTCCGCGGGCCGGGTCACACTTGAGTATTTTTCCACCCTTTCCTGTCCAAACCCGCCCCGAGACCCGTCGGGGCGTGGGTAGCCCATGGGCGCCCGAGCCCATTGACAGCCTGAGGATGAGAGAGGGGTGATTGAACCTGATGCTGCTGTTGTTGTTGTTGTTGGACAAGACCTTTGCATACAGAGGCAAGCAGAAGTTCATCCTTGTAATCTGAGTCAGGTGGATGATCAGGCTTGTGCTCTGGTCCAGACTGATCAGTCTGGAGGGCTTGAGGAGCACCGGCCAAGGGATTGGGAACAGACTGCTTGCGAGGTGGATTTTGGGTTTCCCTGTCAGACAGGCCTGAATTCTGGATGGATTGTGGATGACCGCTGACAGTGTTGGTAGGCACCAATGAGGGTAGCAAAGGTGAAGGGGGTGGGACAATGATTGAGAGGCCTGTCTTGGTCTCTTGGGGTACGGGTGGATTCCCAGATGTGGAAACAGTGTTGGAATGGATGATGCTTAGGTCAGAAAAGGAAAAAGAAATATAACTGTGGTCAAATTGATTGGAAAAGAGTTTTTTTTAGGAGCAAGTAGCTGAAAAAGGAAGTCAAGTCACAAGAATGGAAAAAAAGGTGTTATGCAGTTGGAGGGAAGAGGGAATTGAGTTGGGGAGTGTTAGATAATAAGGCCCCGTTTGGCAGCGTCATAAATTCAAGTGTAATATTGCCTTATGAATTTGATGTAAAATAAACCACTCAGAAATATGTAACAAAATTTTGACTGGGGCAAGGTCAACTACTGATTTCAATTTTAGAACAGAAAAAAATTGAGATAATGGGCTATCTTCAGCACCATAATATCAATATCACACTTTTTACCCACATAAAGTGTAATATCAATATTATGGGTCTCAAGATGGCCTAAGATTTCAGGTTTGTTCTCAGCATTGATGAAACCAGTAATTGAACTTGCCTGAGTAACAATTTTGAAACATAATTTGCATTGGTTTATCTTTTATTGAATTAATCAGGCAATATTACACCTAAATTTATCATGCTGCCAAACGGGGCCTAAAAAAGAAAATGGTGAGTTAGGCAATGGACAGAAAATGAATAAGGCAAGAAGAGCTTCAGGCTGAGCAATGAGTAGGAGTAAGACAAACAAAGAGTTAGTAAGTTTGAGGGTCAGAAGTGGATGGTATAAAAGGACAGGGTTGTGAGCAAGAAGTTGGGAATTGTGAGGTTCCAGGACTTAAGGTCCATGAAGGTGCCTCCACAAAAAGAATTTATGGCCAAATTTTCTATTTTTTTGTGAAATAGGTGGTTTGGATGGTACAGGCCCTAAGGTTTGGTGGAGCTGGTCCCTTACCTTTGCTTGATTGCCCAGGATTTATAGTGTTAAACATATCCATTCGTTTCATCACCTGTGGCCAACTTGGATTACACCTCATCTTTCAATCCCCCCCTCCGTTTGAACAACCTCTGTGCTTGCAACATCGCAACATCCCGGTCACCTGGCCTGTCTTGTGTTCAAATCACCCCCACATCACAGCACTCCGGTCCCATCCATGCGTCTCGCACTCTTGGTGGTCTGCCTTGTCGGCACGGTCAGCAGCTCTGGATATCCCGAACCAAAGCCAGGTGCTTATCCCGGTGCATACCCTGGGGGTCTCCTTCCGGCAAGCGACACAACACACTGTTCCCGGTGTGCGCCAAAGCCTTCGAGAGGGAATCAATACCAACCCGGTCCTGGTCCAACGTTGGTGGAATACAGGAGAAATGAGGACTGGCCATGCAACAAGTGCACCAAACACACAATGATTGAAAGACGGTGTCCCAGTTGCTACGGTGATACTGCAATACATATCTGTGGAACGGCCCCTGTCTAAGCCGTTTCACATCAAATAAATGCCTTCAGAACCAATCCCAACGGTCCTTCCAGTGGCACCCGCGCCCGGAACAATCTTTTAGCCTGACCTTTTTTCTTAACCTTGTGTTTAGAGGTTTTCACCCATCAACTGTGTCCATAAACACCTCTCTCACTCGCATTGAGAAAACAAAAAAAAATGATGAAAATGGTTAACAAGACTAAATAATGGCCAGCAGCTCAAGTAAAATAAAAAAGTGATGATGAAGTTTATCTGAACATTGAAGCCTTCAAGAAGTGATTTAGGTGATAGTCAAAAGTTGGTATACCTTGATGTTATTGAGAACTGAGAACAAATGATTGATGGATGGATTGGGATGAGGAAAGATCAACAAAGGAGAAACTGCGCTCGTGAAGGAAGGTTGAGGGTGCTCTGGCATGGATCTACTGTTATCCTCAGCCCAGTTTGGTCGATCCTTCTTCGGATATGCCACTATCATTCTCGGCGAATTGGGTGCGGTGCGCTTAATTCTGTTCAAAGCCGAGTAAGGGAGTGTGGCTCACAAAATTCCAGTCACTATAAGCTCAAGCGTCTCTCGCAAGGTCTTTCTCAAATATCCTCAAACGACCTGCGTTGGTATGGAAAAGCGAGTGAAAGCTACGAGGTCCACGTCAAAACAGTCCCTAACCCGGGCCGGCTACAAAGACGACTATCACAAATCATAACTCCATCGAATTTCTGGCGGGATGATGACAGCCCGCTCGAAGAATTTAAGGCCTTTGGCGGCGAAACCGACGGAGACGAGATAGAAAACCCGGCTAAAGTTTCCCATGAGACCAGACACGGCCACTTCCTCCGTCAATTCTCAGAACAAGGTATTTCTTAGGCATTAGCCATGTTTTTTTAGATACAGGAAGAGTAGAGCAATCGTGAACCAGAAAGCACGCTCACGACCGCTGGCACGATGTTTGATCAGTCACCTCCGGATTCTATTAGTTCCTAAGGTTGTTAGCTGACATCGATCTGCCCTTGTCGGTTCGGAAACGCGCCAAACAGTCGATTTGGTTGGATAGAGCTGGAAAACGAGTCGGATCATTCAAAAGTTCTAAGCTCCACAACACTTCCAAGAAGGTCAGACAATTACGCTGCCAGGTTGTAAAAAAACCCTGATGGATTTTTAATTTGGTGCCCGTCGCAATGCTTTCATCCCTCCAGCATGTTCCTGTCACTAAACAGGATCGTTTCTCGGAAAGCATACAGTCAAACATCGGAAAACAGTAAGTCTGGTGTCAATGATGATTGAATGTTACTGATACATAGATGATGTTGTTACGCTCTATCGATTGCATTGTCAGATACTTCAGTCGGATCTAACTGTGCTCCATGCGGAAGTCGCCGGCTCGCTGGCTACTGCACTCATTTACGCAAAATGCTATCTGAGCCAAGTCTGATATACTTTCTCAACCAACTTCAGTTTTGCCATGTTCATTTCCCGAGGAATCATAAAACTGTGAATCAAAATCATAATCTCTAGTCCACATTCCTACTTTGTCTTATTCAAGTGCAACGCTCTCACTATTTAGTTATCATATCTCCCTTGCGTTTGACTCATTATTTATCTCCAAGAGTTTGTCTTCTGTGGTAATAGTGTGCTTATATTTCACTCATACATAAGAAAAGAATCATACCTCACTGAAGGTACCAACTGTTTGGAGAGTCAGGTCTGAAGGGTGAGTGATTCTAGCCACGGGGTCCTGATACTCGTGTGTCTCCGTTGACTGAGCAATCAGCAGATCAAATTTGGAGAAAAGGTGACACCAAGACTAGAATGAGCACTGATAATTATTAGGATCCCGAAATCAGCACTGGAAGTCGGATCGCCCGCTGTTTTTGCAAGGCTCAAAGAGTTTGTAATTGACTTGTAAACCTCTTGATTTTTTGAGGCAAGAGAAAAAAGTAAAAAAAAAAAATGAATTCTCAGTTGACCAGTTCAGGGTTGTAAGAAGAAGGAGGCTACTGATAAGATTTTAATGCCATGTAAAATGTAAGCTTAAACTAATTTTTTTACAAGAATCTGAAAAGATGGACTTGTTGTCTTACAAAAATCAGAAAATTACTGTTCTTGTTTTTTTTTTTTAACCGCTAAGCATCAGTCTCCACCCAGGGAATTGAATTTTCCGATTGACTCAATCTTCGTGAAGGAGTCCTCCCTATCCGCCGACCGGCAGAGCCGGTTTGCTCCTTGTCGAAAGACTACGCTACCGCTGGGCAAAAGGTCTGCGACAAGAAGTAATAGCCCCCAAGATCGGATAGAAATGGCAATAAAATCAACCTCAGCGGAAGCTGGGAAAGTTTGCAATGTGCTATAGTAGAAAACTTCTTCATCTAGTGTCTCGTTGGGTAATCAATCTTCGCCCACCGGAATCTATCCTTTCAACAGGGATTGGACCGGCTCTGCCGGTTTCTCCACAGAGACAGAGTCAATCAAGAGGCTCGATTCCGACACTGAGGCATAGCGTTTAAGGAAACAAACCAGCTCAAATTCTATTTAGCGAGATTTTTCAAGTTGATCAGAACAAAAAGTCTGCAAAAGCAATTGCAATTTGCACACAAATCCAAGAGCGCATTGTCAAGTCAAGCTGAGATCTCTCTGTCTCAACCGACACAAAGGATGTAAGCTAGAAGTGTGCTCCGCCCCTCAGCATCTATTCCTCCTGCCAAGGGTAGGCTCAGAATGATGGTAGGCGGAAAGCACCTCCTAGACCCGCCTGCTGCCGGTTGCTACCAAAGCCAGACTGAGCGAGGATGAAAAGCACATTGAGCCTACGCTATAGCAGCCGACACAAAGGATGGAGGCGACACCCCTCCGCCATCGTGGCCTGCTGCAAGTGCTGCTGAAGTCTGCAAGCTCGGCATTGATGGAAGGTTTAAATAGAACCGCCGGTCCAGAGGTTATGGATCATCTCCCAATCCTAGTGCCCCCAAACATCACATCCAGCTCTCCCCTTCCCTCCCCATCCCCCGCCAGACTCTTACTAAAAAATAAACAAACTTATTCTGATAAACATCAAAGATGGATCGAAATATACTAGAGTTGTCGGACACGGCCTTGTCCTACCTGACTCCGGAATATCGGCAGCTCTTTCGGCGCCACTTCGAGTTATTCCAAGCTGCCCATAGGGAGCTGTACGAGAACGCTCTTCGGGGCCGGTTGACCGGGTCGGAAGACGCGCACTACTTTCGGTACATGGACCAAGTGGATGATGCGCTCGAGCGTCTGGGACGCGAAGACGCCCGCCGCTTGCAATATATATCTTCTTTCTGGATGAATGCAATCGAAGAGCTCGAGGAAATCCGCGCCGTCTCCTTCGAGAGACGACGCATCTTGGTCAGACGACGGCTGGCTACTCTTTGCAACACCACTGCCGCCACTCTGGCTTCAATCCGCAACGGGGCAGTTTCGGCTTGCATCGTTTGCATGGATGAGCTCGCCCCATATGAACTAGTTATCATTCGGCTTCCATGCCATCCTTTCCACCTTTTCCACCGGGACTGCATTCAGGTAAGCTACCTCTTCTTGACTCTACCTTCATACTTCATCGCTGATTTTGATCTGCTTCTGATCTAGCACTGGCTCGAAGGACACACAAGCTGCCCAATCTGCAGAATTGTAGTCGAACTGCCACCAATGGAACCCCACCGCTAAACCGGTCCATATGTCCTTTTTTTTCTTGTATCCTTTTGAATTATCAAACATCCTTGTAGAATAGTCTCATAATTTTATGCTCATGAAGAAGTAATGTAAATTCCAATCCCTTTCAATTTAAACATCGCATACACGCAACGCTATCCTTTTGAAATTGTGCACTGTTTGAGGGAAAAAAAATCAAAGGGGCACCGTGTAATTTTGATTATTTTGTGCATTCAAAGCATCCCCATTGTGATTTGTGGGTTGGTATTTACATCTTAGCCCCGTCCCAGATTGAGCGTTGTAAGCCATCAGAAAGCTGAAAGTCTAGAAAATACGGGCCTGCATCTTGGCGGCTCATAATTTGATTGTCCATGTGTGAAAGACACCCTGACGATGCAGTTCCTTCTGAAATACCTCGGCCATGAATCTGTCTTTGAGAGTTTCAAATTTGATTTTTGAACGTTCCAAATTGTAGATAAAATCAACTTCATGACATCCTCACTTCAAAATAATTGCAAAACAGCGAATATGATTATGCGAGTCATAGAAAAACAATTCACCAAAAATAAAATTCACGTTCAGAAACATCAGAAACACCAATGAAATCGGACAAAAAAAAAAGAATCTACGAGCATCAGCGCTTTGATGAAGCAATCCAGATCATATTGGCTCAGCGGAAGCTGGGAAAGTTTTTTAATGTGTCAAAAAACATCTTCATGCGGCGTCTCATGGGGCAATTGATTCTTTCCATAGACCTTTTTCCGCAGGGGGGGACCGGGATCTATCCCTTCAACAGGAATTGGACCGACTGTGCCGGATTCTCCGCGGAGACAGAGTCAATCCGAACGCTCGATTCCCTGGTGGACACTGAGGCCTAGGAGTTATTTAGAACCGCAATAGCTCAGATTGCAATTCCGCGGGGGGGGGGGGGGGGGGTTATGAGCTTGATCGCAACAAAACCCCAGGAAAAGAAACCCTACACAAATCCAAGAGAGCACACCTTTCGTAAAGTGGCACGTCAGCGGAGACTTCAACACGTATAACACCGGCAGCAAGGGAGCCAAGTGTTTTCGTTCAAGTCTGGCGATTCTGAAGCAAGTAGGCGTTCAACGACTGGTACATGATGGAGAAACCAACCATGAAATCTGTACCGGCGGTTGCTTATCTCACTCACTTGAATTTGCAGCATCCATCAAGTCAAGCTGAGATCCCTCTGTCTCAGCCGACACAAAGGATGTAAGCTAGAAGTGTGCTCCGCCCCTCAGCATCTGATCCTGCTGCCGGTTCAAATTGCTGCCAAGGGTAGGCTCAAAATGATGAAAGGCGGAAAGCACCTCCTAGACCCGCCTGCTGCCGGTTGCTACCAACGCCAGACTGAGCGAGGATGAAAAGCACAATGAGCGTACTCTACAGCAGCCGACACAAAGGATGGAGGCGACACCCCTCCGCCATCGTGGGCTGCTGCAAGTGCTGCTGAAGTCTGCAAGCTCGGCATTGATGGAAGGTTTAAATAGAACCGCCGGTCCAGAAATTGTGATCCATCTCCCAATCCTAGTGCCACCAAACATCACATCCAGCTCACCCGTTCCCTTCCCATCCCCCGCCAGACTCTTACTAAAAAAACACACTTATTCTGATAAATATAAAAGATGGATCGAAATATATTAGAGTTGTCGGACACGGCCTTGTCCTACCTGACTCCGGAATATCGGCAGCTCTTTCGGCGCCACTTCGAGTTATTCCAAGCTGCCCATAGGGAGCTGTACGAGAACGCTCTTCGGGGCCGGTTGACCGGGTCGGAAGACGCGCACTACTTTCGGTACATGGACCAAGTGGATGATGCGCTCGAGCGTCTGGGACGCGAAGACGCCCGCCGCTTGCAATATATATCTTCTTTCTGGATGAATGCAATCGAAGAGCTCGAGGAAATCCGCGCCGTCTCCTTCGAGAGACGACGCATCTTGGTCAGACGACGGCTGGCTACTCTTTGCAACACCACTGCCGCCACTCTGGCTTCAATCCGCAACGGGGCAGTTTCGGCTTGCATCGTTTGCATGGATGAGCTCGCCCCATATGAACTAGTTATCATTCGGCTTCCATGCCATCCTTTCCACCTTTTCCACCGGGACTGCATTCAGGTAAGCTACCTCTTCTTGACTCTACCTTCATACTTCATCGCTGATTTTGATCTGCTTCTGATCTAGCACTGGCTCGAAGGACACACAAGCTGCCCAATCTGCAGAATTGTAGTCGAACTGCCACCAATGGAACCCCACCGCTAAACCGGTCCATATGTCCTTTTTTTTCTTGTATCCTTTTGAATTATCAAACATCCTTGTAGAATAGTCTCATAATTTTATGCTCATGAAGAAGTAATGTAAATTCCAATCCCTTTCAATTTAAACATCGCATACACGCAACGCTATCCTTTTGAAATTGTGCACTGTTTGAGGGAAAAAAAATCAAAGGGGCACCGTGTAATTTTGATTATTTTGTGCATTCAAAGCATCCCCATTGTGATTTGTGGGTTGGTATTTACATCTTAGCCCCGTCCCAGATTGAGCGTTGTAAGCCATCAGAAAGCTGAAAGTCTAGAAAATACGGGCCTGCATCTTGGCGGCTCATAATTTGATTGTCCATGTGTGAAAGACACCCTGACGATGCAGTTCCTTCTGAAATACCTCGGCCATGAATCTGTCTTTGAGAGTTTCAAATTTGATTTTTGAACGTTCCAAATTGTAGATAAAATCAACTTCATGACATCCTCACTTCAAAATAATTGCAAAACAGCGAATATGATTATGCGAGTCATAGAAAAACAATTCACCAAAAATAAAATTCACGTTCAGAAACATCAGAAACACCAATGAAATCGGACAAAAAAAAAAGAATCTACGAGCATCAGCGCTTTGATGAAGCAATCCAGATCATATTGGCTCAGCGGAAGCTGGGAAAGTTTTTTAATGTGTCAAAAAACATCTTCATGCGGCGTCTCATGGGGCAATTGTTTCTTCCCATAGCCTTTTTTCGGCAGGGGGGGACCGGGATCTATCCCTTCAACAGGAATTGGACCGACTGTTCCGGATTCTCCGCGGAGACAGAGTCAATCCGAACGCTCGATTCCCTGGGTGGACACTGAGGCCTAGGAGTTATTTAGAACCGCAATAGCTCAGATGCCTATCCCGGGGGGGGGGGGGGGGGGGTTATGAGCTTGATCGCAACAAAACCCCAGGAAAAGAAACCCTACACAAATCCAAGAGAGCACACCTTTCGTAAAGTGGCACGTCAGCGGAGACTTCAACACGTATAACACCGGCAGCAAGGGAGCCAAGTGTTTTCGTTCAAGTCTGGCGATTCTGAAGCAAGTAGGCGTTCAACGACTGGTACATGATGGAGAAACCAACCATGAAATCTGTACCGGCGGTTGCTTATCTCACTCACTTGAATTTGCAGCATCCATCAAGTCAAGCTGAGATCCCTCTGTCTCAGCCGACACAAAGGATGTAAGCTAGAAGTGTGCTCCGCCCCTCAGCATCTGATCCTGCTGCCGGTTCAAATTGCTGCCAAGGGTAGGCTCAAAATGATGAAAGGCGGAAAGCACCTCCTAGACCCGCCTGCTGCCGGTTGCTACCAACGCCAGACTGAGCGAGGATGAAAAGCACAATGAGCGTACTCTACAGCAGCCGACACAAAGGATGGAGGCGACACCCCTCCGCCATCGTGGGCTGCTGCAAGTGCTGCTGAAGTCTGCAAGCTCGGCATTGATGGAAGGTTTAAATAGAACCGCCGGTCCAGAAATTGTGATCCATCTCCCAATCCTAGTGCCACCAAACATCACATCCAGCTCACCCGTTCCCTTCCCATCCCCCGCCAGACTCTTACTAAAAAAACACACTTATTCTGATAAATATAAAAGATGGATCGAAATATATTAGAGTTGTCGGACACGGCCTTGTCCTACCTGACTCCGGAATATCGGCAGCTCTTTCGGCGCCACTTCGAGTTATTCCAAGCAGCCCATAGGGAGCTGTACGAGAACGCTCTTCGGGGCCGGTTGAGCGCGGCGGAAGACGCGCACTACTTTCGGTACATGGACCAAGTGGATGATGCGCTCGAGCGGCTGGGACGCGACGACGCCCGCCGCTTGCGATACATATCTTCTTTCTGGATGGATGCAATCGAAGCGCTCGAGGAAATCCGCGCCGTCTCCTTCGAGAGACGACGCATCTTGGTTAGAAGACGGCTGGCTACTCTTTGCAACACCACCGCCGCCACTCTGGCTTCAATACAAAACGGGGCAGTTTCGGCTTGCATCGTTTGCATGGATGAGCTCGCCCCATTTGAGCTAGTTATCATTCGGCTTCCATGCCATCCTTTCCACCTTTTCCACCGGGACTGCATTCAGGTAAGCTACCTCTCCTTGACTTGATTTTTCACACTTCATCGCTGATTTTGATCTGCTTCTGATCTAGCACTGGCTCGAAGGACACACGAGCTGCCCCATCTGCAGAATTGTGGTCGAACTACCACCAACGGAACCCCACCGCTGAACCTATCCATATGGCCTTTTCTTTCTTGTATCCTTTTGTATTATCAACCATTCTTGTAGAATAGTCTCATACTTTTATGCTCATGAAGAAATCATGTTAATTCCAATCCCTCTCAATTCAAACATCGCATACGCGCAACGCAGTCCTTGGAAATTGGAGGTACCAATTCAGGGGGGAACCCGGGTATTTGTGATTTTGAGCACTCACTAGAGTAGAGCATCTTCATTGTGGGTTGGTGTATGTTGGCCCCGATCCAGGTTTACGACGAATTGCATGCCTTCCCAAAACCACAAGTCTGGACACCAAACAGGCCTGCACCTTTAATGTGCCTCAGAATTTCCACTCTTTTTTTTTTTTTTTGTGAAAGACAGCCTGAAGATTGAAAGACCTCTCATCCAAGATCTGTCTTGAAGAGTTTTCGATCTGAATCGAAAGGTTCACATAAAGCTTATCTAAATTAGATGGTCGCTTCACAATACTTACCTGGAACTCCAAGTAAAAGAAAGAAAAAAAAAACATTTATTTACGTCCACAAAACCAAGGATTCAATTATGAGGAAATGTTCAACGAGACGATAACTAACTACCAACAGCTCAAAGAGGACTCGAGATCGATAAGCATCGGATCCTTGATGCAGTGATCTAATAACATGAATGAGGCCTCGTTTGGCCGTCCACGATCGTAATAGGCCGTCGTCTCAAATCGTTAAATCAGAATCTAGGTTTGATGATTCCAGGCTGTGCAAATGACGCAGCCTGAAAATCCTCATCAACCTCGCTGTGAGGACTTATGACGCAAAATTTTGGGGGGACCCAAAATGTTGGAATTGGCAGGGAATATATTTCGCTGACCACTTCCGTAATAAAAAAAGTGGATATGACGTGGCCTCCCAAACACCATCGTGAGGCCCCGTCTTCAGCTGTGCACCCCCGATATATTCGCCATGATCGTTTATGACGATCATGGACGGCCAAACGAGGCCTGAATTGTTACCGCTTGATGTTATTGGTGAGTGAACGCAAATGATTGATGAACGGCTTACAAAAAACCCAGCATGAAACTGGGCTGATCAAGAAAATTGAGCTGACAGTTTGCAACATTCACAGAGTGCGGATGAATCGAATGACGTCATCGTCTAGTTGATGTCACCTGGCTCTGCCGCTGGTACATACAACACCGAGTGCCCCTCCAACCCTTTGCCTGCCTCCCCTGTCTGACTGGAGCTCGTGAAGCAACTTTCTTCGGAGTATGTACACTTAGAGTCGACTCGTGACTGTGGAGCTTGGAAGAGTGACCCCCCACTCCCTTTTTTTTATTGATCCAAGACATCCCTCCTCCCGACTCATCACGATCAATTCTAAAGCGCGTCCTTACCACTCGATGAGAACCAGCATTTTTTTTTTAAATTTTTTGTATGTATTTGTTTGTATATTCGAAAAAAAAGAAGAAGAAGCAACTGCATCAAGCAGTCTCTTCGAGCCGCTTTCGAGAGCATCAAGCCTCAGAAGCGTCCTGAGGACGCGACAAGCCAGGGCCTCTTCGGGCTTGTAATGTTTTCATTTGAGATCGCGTGCTTATCGGTACCCAGCAGAACCGGGTAATAACCCGCACGAGCCAGCGCCCGGGTTCGCGTAGGTTTGCAGCCTTCCTGAGGACATGCATTTTCGTTCTCGGGCTCCAGTCTGCCGAAGAGAGCGGAAGAAATCCACGGCACACGCATGTGGAAGAGCTCCGACTTACGACTACATAGATGATCGCCAGAGCCGAGCAAGCCGTGGACTATGTACACAGCTTGCTTGACAATATCAACAAACATGAACATCTGGAGCCAGTGTGAGGGAGCATCATTGAAGTGTCGATCGGCCAGGGAGAAACCAGTCCCTAGCGTATGGTTGACCCTGGACTCCTTGGCCTCGAGACGCATGTGATTTGGAATTACAATGTAGCGGTTGTTGAGCCCGGGAAATGGGAATCAAAATGTAAGCTCTCCTGGCGTCTTTCCTAGTCCATGACTTGTGCTCGCTAGCAGTGTTGTGCTAGCGCGATTGCTTGAAGACCACCAAGAAAAGATACCCCAAGCCTCCTTTTTTTTGGGCCCGAAGCTTTTATGGGTCAAGGACACAACTCAGGAAGCCGGAAGTCGTGGTGACTCAGGAGGTCTTCTCTGTCTCTAGTCATGAGACAGGGAAGAAGGAGAAGGGAGCCGCGAAAAGGCAAGCTCCATGCGTATGTATGTATTGTAGTGTGGAGAAAAGTAGATCAAAGCTGTTCTGAATCCCAAGTCCATCTGGATCATCATCATCCACTTTTCCCCAGAACTTCCTCTTCTCGTCCGATCAACCAATCAGCCATCACCGGGGCTTTGTAAAAGTTATAAGTGCTTGGCTTAAAAAAACACGCCGATCATCCTTCCTAGTGCCAAGTGGGCACCGCAATCCATTGCCAAGACCTCTTCTGGACTCACAAGAGCCCGACTTTGTCTTTTGTGGCCTACATGGGTATACATACACAATCCGATGACTGCGGCCTGTAGGGCCACAACACTTGCCATCCGGACAAGCCGGAACAATATTATTTACATGTATCATAGCTGCGGATGGTAACGATACCAAATGCTACAAATTCTCCGCACCCCCCAGCCGCTTATTAACTTTGTTTATTTTATCTGGGCCTCGCGGGGACGCGTATCCAGTTGATACATCAGTTTCATTAAAAAGACTTCAACAATTTATTGTAAACACAACGGGAGCGAACGGGAGCCCGCCGGCCCGGGTACATAAAACGCTGTAAAGTTATTCGCCGTTATGTTAACTTGTACATACAATCACAGCTCTCGACAAATACGACTCAGCTTCTCCTATCGACATCGTGCACAGTCAACCTGCTCAGCTTGAAACGAGCATGCGAAGAAGCACAGATAAGGTGCCGAAGCCAAGTGGGAAGTCGAAGCTGATCAAGGATGTGCGCCAAAACAAAACAAAACAAACCCAACGTGACTTGGTCAGGATTCCAACAAGACCCGTTGATCCTGCGCGTTTGGACATCGAACGCTACAATTACAATCGCACACCGGCCCAGAACACCCGACTTACCCACGACCCTCGTGGCTCAACTCGACTACATACATATATCGATATCTGCACCGACTATATACTTTGCATGGTCTTTTATGGCGGGTCTTGAAGGTGTTCAGGATGGCCATGGGGGAGGAGGCCTGCGAGAGCTGGCGTCAGGTCTCGGGTTTGGATGAGAGCAATTGCTGACCAATCCTTTGGCTCTTCTCTCGTGCACGCTTGCATGTGTACATTCTCAAAGCTGTAAAACCTGTCTGGGGAACCGAAGATGATTCAAATCTTCTGGACAGTTTCATGGCCTGATTTCCGAATGAGGTACAATGTAACTCTTCTCGTCAGTCATATTCCGTGGTTTTTTGGCTGATCAAGCGGCAGCCTGGAGCGCTGTGCCATCGCCGAAGAAACCCATGATCTCGCTTTCTTGCCCCCCTCCCCCCCCATGGACCAGCGGCGCTACACAATAGATCCACAAAAAGAAACACCTGTTCACACCAGCGAAGCCGAAAGCATAGAATCGAAAAGAGCGACCATGTCCAGAGTTCAAGATTCTCCCCGTCCACTTTTCACTGGCCGTTTTATGTATAAGCTTTCGCTGTTTTCTACATCCATATTGCAGGATCAAGGACCATCATGCGTCTGTTTTTTCAAGTTCGACAACCATGAAGTTGCTTATTTTCAGAGACAGAGAGACGAAACTGTTTGGGGGTTACGATGATGATGATGATGGATGATTGGATGATGACGAAGAAGATCGACATGGAGGGAATGAGTGGATAAGTTGCGAATCCAATGTAAGCCAACAGATTGCGAGAGATAGCCGACCCAACAACACACCTGAGCCGACCAACCAGATCTCGAGAGTGTAATAATGTCGATCTGAGCTTGACCCACCGATATCATGAGATGATAGTACATATGTAGTAGAGGTGCAATGAGATCGAGGGCAGGTTTTTTGTTTTTTTTTTCAGATGGGGGAGCCCCTATCTGTCCTCGTCGTGCCTGTGGACTGCAGGATGGAATTGACAATCCGTCTGGATCGGAATCTTCGACCGCCTTTGCGAGAGACTTGAACACTTTTAATACTCCACAAGGAAGGAGGGGCGATGGGAACGCCGGTGGGTGTGGCCGAACCTCTTCTACCCGATCCTGTTTGTTTCGCACATCTTGAAGAAACCGTCTGAAACACATCAAGTCCGCTGGCCAGGCTCATCCCAGAGAGCGGCTTCCAGCAGAAATGAGGACCGAGTTGTAAACATCCATCACAAGCCAACCGGCCCATGCCGCGTGTGCCAGTACATGTACAATCTTTGTCTTATAACAAATCTGGACTGTACAACAACCACGATAACTGCATAAGAAGGAAGCTGTGGTGAACTGACAGCCGTACGACTAATTCTCTCATTGTACTCCACTCATCAATCGTTGTGGGCTTGCTTTGGCAGTTTGTACAATGGACTCAATCACTCGTCCTCGGTCTTGGACTGCTGCTGTGTTGAGAGTCGATGATGGGGTACATGAGATCTCTCAATGGCTTCGATTATTACAACAAGAAGAATTTCTAAGCTCGAGTCGCTGTCTTGATTTGATTTCTTGTCCGCTGTCTGGCTTTGTAAACAATTTGAATTCCTTGGTGTTTGATCTTGTGATTTCACAATCGAGAAAAAAAACAAACAAAACCAAAAAAACTCGTCCATTAAAGCTCTTGCAGGCTTCCTTCCACACAAGAACAACACCCAAGGCTTCATGACCATCATCTCTTTGCAGCCCTTCTCGCTCTTCCTTGATCAAGCCTACAAAATTGGAGAGTGTGTTAGTGTGATTCTACTGTTACTATGATGATGTGCAGCCTTTTCGGTTTTTTTTTTCTACAGACATAAACACACATCTTTGCTTTTCTTGGACGGGAGCTGACTTCAACATGGAGCGATTCTTTTTAGTCTACAAACTTGAACTTGCTTGACCATCAACTAAAAAAGCTGTTTAGTTGGCTGTCGGATTCCAATAAACTGCTCTCTCTCTGCTCTCTCTCTCTCTCTCTCTACTATTCTCTGTCTCTCTCCGGTGGGTTTGTGAGACATAAACCCGAGTGCACATGAAATAAAAAGAAGGAAGCGCACTCTCTGACTTGCTCCTCGTTTTTCCCCATCCCTCCCCTCCCCTCCCTCCTTCCTTCCTTCCTTCCTTTCCTTCCTTCCCCCCCCAAAAAAGGAATATATCACCCACATCTTCCATCACATATCCTTGCGCAGTACAGACACACTCACCAATCTCCAAGATCTGTCTCGTCAACTGAATCTCTTTCCCTGTAACCTTTCAAAATCAGCTGCTTGTTTCCTCCATTCCTGAAGGGGCTTAGCCGCATACAGCCTACACCCGATCCCCTGGCCATCTCTCTCTAAGAGTCAGTCTGCCTTGATTGTAATCGAACTCGCGACAAACCAAAGTCAGTCTCTGCGGAGTTTAAAAGACTTGTTGGATTGCTGCTGATCAGGATCTGTGATTTCCCTCTTTCCCCTCTGCCTCTCTTTCTCCCTCTCTGATTACATTCATCCCAGATTTCGCCTGTCCCTTCGCCTGTCTCTCTCTCTTTCTCTCTCTCTCTCTCTCTCCTCACCATCTCTCTACACACTATCACTCTGTCTCTCTGTTGAGCCGGCCATCTCCGCGCAGCGCAGACAGCCACTAGCCGCTTTCGTGACCTTGTCCCTCGTTGCCTTCCTCTCTCCGCTGCCATACAAAGTGTATGCTGCCGTGCATTAAGCCTGTCTCGGAAGCCATCATTAACAGCACACACCAGATCGTCTTCTCTAGGTGGCCAACAACAACAACAAGAAGAATAAAAAGTATAAAGTGTATGCCATCTCTGTCGGCGGCTTTTCTCCCCTTCCACTTCTCCATCGATTCTGACTACACTCTTCCTGACCGTTTGTTTTTTTCTTTTTTTTTCTTCACTCCCTCCTGCGCCGCTCGTCCTGGTTCCTGCTGATACCCAACATCCCACACCCACACTCTGAATGGTAATGTAAAAAAGTCGATCGAATCGATTGAAGATTGTGGTCAACAAAAACAATCCATACAATCCCTCCTGAGAATCTCTCATCCTTAACAAACAATTAACCATACACCCTCATCCGTCTCTATCGCCAACAGCCATCTCCCTAGGCTTTCACTACATACAAGCCGCCTTCCTTGATTGAATTCCCTCAATCTGGTTTCTGTACACCCAAATACACCCACACACAACTGTACCGACCACGCGTATCTACATAATCCTGTCAAGAAATTCGACATCCGT